TTATATATTCTTGTCTCCTTTGTCATAAATTAATTGTGCAATGAGTTGACTCATTGGAAAAGACCCTGATGCTGGGAGGGATTGGGGGCAGGAAGAGAAGGGGAAGACAGAGGATGAGATGGCTGGACGACATCACCAACTCCGTGGACATGGGTTTGAGTAAACTCTGGGAGTTGGTGATGGATAGGGAGGCCTGGCGTGCTGTGATTCATGGGGTTGCAAAGAGTCAGACACGACTGAGCAACTGAACTGAACTGAAAGCTGTTTACAAAAAAAAAGAAATCAAGAACTTCCTTGGTGGTACAGTGGATAAGAATCTGCCTGCCAATGTAGGGGGTTGAGGTCTGATCCCTAGTCCGAGATCAAACCTACTGCAGAACAACTCAGCAACAAGAGAAGCCATGGCAATAAGAAAACGACACACGACAACGAGAGGGTAGCCCCTGCTCACAGCAACCAGCGTAAGCCTGCCCAAAGCAAAGACCCAGCACAACCAAAAATAAAATAAATGAATAAAATTACTTTTAAAAAGCGACATAAACTCTTATTTCACTAGGTAAACCTGGGAGTAGGAATGCCAGGTTCTACAGTAAGCATATATCGTGGTGGTGGTTTAGTCGCTTAGTCATGGCCAACTCTTTTGCGATCCCATGGACTGTAGCCTGACAGGTTCCTCTGTCCATGGGATTTTGCAGGCAAGAATACTGGAATGGACTGCCATTCCCTTCTCCAGGGGATCTTCCTAACCCAGAGATCAAACCCAGTTTCCCGCATTGCAGGCGATTCTTCACCAGTTAAGCCACCAGAGAAGCCCAACCATACATATGTTTACCTTCATAAAAAGCTACCAAATGTTAAGGTCACTATACTATTTTCATTGCCCATGTCAACAGATGAAAGCTCCAGCTGCTCCACGGTCTCATCAGCATTTCAGCCCCCTTTTTAAAAAAACAACTCTAGTGGTTTATTTTGTCTGCATGAAAGTATATTATGGCAAAACATCAACATCAGCTTCAACTAGCTGGCAGCAAGATAACTGTTAACAAGGTCATATACTGTAATAAACAGCTTGACTCCTGTTTTTTGGTTTTTTGGTTTCTTTTTTAAGTTCTCTGACAGCTTTTAAGTCTCACATCTCGCTCATGAGTCTGATGCTCCCCACTTTGCTACCAGCAGGAAGTTCAAACACATACAGAATCCTTACCTTGGCCTTACTTCCAAACATTAGAGTACCCTCATGCCAGTCTCTTTTCCCTGCTCTCTCAGCTATTCAGACCTGTTTAACAGCCACCCTATTCTCCCCAGTGAGTAATAAACCTATAGTTCCTCTGTCCATGGGATTTTGCAGGCAAGAATACTGGAATGGACTGCCATTCCCTTCTCCAGGGGATCTTCCTAACCCAGAGATCAAACCCAGTTTCCAGCATTGCAGACAGATTCTTCACCAGTTAAGCCACCAGAGAAGCCCAACCATATATATGTTTACCTTCATAAAAAACTGCCAAATGTTAAGGTCGCTATACTATTTTCATTGCCCGTGTCAACAAATGAAAGCTCCAACTGCTCCATGGTCTCATCAGCATTTGGTATTGTTTTTTTTATTTTTCCTTTCTTCCTTCATTTTTCTTAATGTCTTAATTTTCTCACTACTGGTTTCTAATTGTGATTTTAACTTACAATTTTTCAATTATCAATGATGTCTAATATCTTTTGGTCTATTTACTTGCTATCCATATTCCTTTTTTGGTAAAGTTTCTACTTAAATCCTTTGTCAAATTTTTAATTTGGTTGTTCACTTACTATTGAATTTTGTGAGTTCTGTAGATATTCTGGATACAAGTTTTTTGTTAGATATGTGATAGAAGAACATTAACTCCCAGTCTGGGACTTCTCTTTTCACTCTCATAACACTCTTTCAGACAGCATAAGTTCTTAATTTTGATGAAGTTGAACACAGTACTGATTTATTCATTTATGGATCATGCTTTTGGTGTTTAACTTTTTGCTGAAATTAAAAAAAAAAAAAAACTTTGCTCAATCTAAGGTCCAAAAGATTGTCTTACATTTTCTTCAAGTTATTTTCTAGCTTTAGGTCTTATTTTGAGATCTATGAACCATTTTGAACCAGTTTTTGCATAGACTGGCAAAAATGGGGAATTTTTGCACTGAGGCTATAATAAAGAAAAATTTGCTATTTTGATGTTTGAAGGTTAACTGCCTTAAAGCCCACTTCCCTCTCCCTTTGCCCCACATCTGGATAAGTTAGTATGAAAGCCTGGCCATTCTCTCCACTATCAATGGGAAGCTAAAACCATGAAAATCCCACACATGGGAACTATCATACTCCTAGTCACAATGAAAATTAAATTCAACCATTCTCCTTCACTTTGGCTTCAGTCTGGACTAAACCTAAGACCTCTCCTTAAGGAATCCTTTTGCAGTTGACTTGGTGAGTAAACCTTATTTCCTATTTCATATCCATTGGCGCCTTTCTGTCATCTGTTCCAACATTTATACGAATTCCTGAGCAAGGGGCTGCCCAGTGTCCAACAGAGGATATTAGAGGCCCAAATAAGACGGAGTTTTTTATATATGAACATCCAACTATTCCAGATTATCCTTACTCTACTGAATTGCCTTAATACCCTCATCAAAACAAACTGACCATTTTGCATGTCTGAATTCTCTATTTTGTTCCATTGATCTGCAAGTTTGTCTTTTCTCTATCTTTATTCTTGAGTATTGCAGTAATATAATAAGTTGAAATCACAAGTTTTTCAACTTTTTTGTCTTTTTCAAAATTGTTTTACCTTTTTCTAGTTCCTTTGTTTTCCCGTATCAATTTTAGAATCAGCTTGTTTCTTTCTATAAGAAATCCTCTCCTCCTGAGATCTGGCTGGAATTGCACTGACTCTGTAGATGAGCTCAGGACAAATGGTTACCTTAACAATATTAACTCTTCCAATACATGAATATGGTATCTCTCTCCACTTACGTAGGTCTTCTTTGGTTTCTTCCATTAGTATCTTGTAATTTTCATTATACAAATCTTGCACATGTCTTGTAAAGCCAATATTAAATATTTTATAAGTTCTGGTGCTATTGAGATGTTACTTTAAAATTTTTATTTCCAGCTGTCCTTTGCTATTATATAGAAATACAACTGATTGTTATATATTGACCTTGTATCTTTCAACCTTGCAGAATTCACTTATTAGAGTTTTTTTAAAAAAATCTTTCTGAACAGAAAAAGATTTCCTGCAGAGACACTCTGTCCATGATTAGAGCCAGTTGCTGCCCTTTGAAACATGCTGTTAAAAGAATTAAAACAAGCCACAATCTGGGAAAAAATATTTCCCTATCACATCTGCAGCTATTCCACTTTTAGACAGTTATGGAGGAGAAAAGAAGGTATATATTCCTCCAGAGACTTATATGTGAATGCTCACAGTAGCTTTATATATAATGGTTAAAAGCTGAAAACCACCCAAATCGCTGTCAATTAGAACATGGACAAAAATAAAGTTTTGCAGTATATCCATACAATATAACATTACCCAACAATAAAAAGACACAAACACATTACAATATGGATGAATTTCAAAGCACTAATACTGAGTTTAAGAAGCCAGACATCCTCCCCCCACCAAAAGAAGTACATACTATATGAGGGGTCTCAGTCGGACACAACTGAGTGACTGAACTGAAAGTCCTTTAGTTGTTATCAGATTGATTAAAAATCTTTAATCTGATTTTAAAAGCCCAATTCAATCCCCTAGAAAATTCTTAGTGGGAAGAAAAAATTACTGGTATAAGAATTTTTACTGTCATGTGTTTCCTTCCCAAAATAAAAAAAAGTACAGGTAGAAAGAAAACTAGTTCAAGTTTTGCTAAACAGGTAGATAAAATAAAATAAACCACTAAATTTCAGGCTTCTCTTCACAATATTTACAATGAAGAAACAACTCAAGTGCCCAACAAGAAAAAAAGACTGAGTATATTAACTTGATATAATATCACTATATAAATGAAAAATATGCAAACCAAAACAGGGACACTAAACATGGACACTTATATAACACACTAAGCAGGAAGTTTAAGAAGTCCAGGTGAGTACTCATTCACTGATGACAATGATGTAAGGACCATGAATCTCTATACTTTATTGCTTTTGTCAATGCACAACTGAATGTACTAACAGTCACACTGATCATTCAAACATCAGGAAAAGGAATGTTTTTAATTATATCAAGTTCAAAACTGTTGGGAGTAAATGTAATGAAATCTTTTGAGTTTCATTAGTTTTTACTGAAGCACAATTATTTGGCTAGAAAAAACTAATGAGAGAATAGCTTTAATTTATTCAAATAAATTTTATTGAGTAGAAACATAAATGAAGCTTTAACTAATGAAGCTTTCACAAAACCACATACGCACTTTATTTGACTTGCCTCATATATTCATTTACTATACACACACATACACTCTCACCTTATAATGTAACTGTAAGATTCAAGATCTTAGGACTTCCCTGGTGGTCCAGTGGCTAAGACTCCAAGCTCCCAATGCAGGAGGCCCACTGGGTTCCATCCGTGGTCAGGGAACTAGATCCCACATAACCACAACTAAGAGTTTGCATGGCACAATGAAGACCTGGTACAGTCAAATACATAAATATTTTTTAAAAGATTCAAAATCTCACTGTAAAAAGAGCAATAAAGTGTAACGCCAAGGGTCTATGCAATTTATTTTTCTTTACCTTCAAGCATTTTCCACTTTCAGAGCAGAACCAAAGATATGTTATAATATTTAAGGGGGTGAGGGAAAGCTGACATGATGTATAATTATCTAGGCAATTAAGCAGTTCAACAATTCTCCAACTTATTCACTTTGCTAAAACTCTTCTCTGCACAGTTGTTCAGTCATGTCAGACTTTTCCTGACCCTTCGGACTGTAGCCCACCAGGCTCCTCTGTCCAGGGAATTTTTCAGGCCAGAATACTGGAGCGGGCTGTCATTTCCTCCTTCAGGGTATCATTCCCAACCCAGGAAATGAACCCCTGTCTCCTGCACTGCAGTCGGATTCTTTACCGTTGAGCCATCCAGGAAGCCCTAAAAACTCTCTTAGCCAAAGTTTATTAGAGTAATCTATACAGTCAAGGCCAGTCAGACATAAAAGCCTAGATCTATTTTCAAAAATATTCAAGAAATCCTGTCTCAAGATACTGAGATGCCTTTATTCCGTATCTCTTTTTACTTTTTAGATCTTAACAGGGTTAGGGTTTTTAGAATTTACAGATGCACTTACGGAGGGAGAGAATTTCTTTAAATGGTAATTAAAATTCCACACTCATATGTGTACTTGCATTTTCAGACCCAGAGTCCACACCTTCTATCAGACTTCCAATGGACTTCACGACCACAAAATAGGTTGAGAACTACTACTATGAGAATCCCACAGGGACACTTTTCAAATCTAAGTGATGTAATTATATTTCTCCCAGTTGATAACTGCTAAGTAAAATAGGGCATTCCGTTCACAAAAGTGAAGGCTCACAAGCTTTAGGCTGCATCCATGAAATAAAAGCAGGAGCTCAAACCTATCTGCCCTATGAAAGACACTGCTTGTCAGTATACAACCCACTCTGAGGTAATAGAAAAGGTTAACATCTCCTTACCAAAAAGCCAAGATTCACCTGCAACAACCTGCACTACTCTGGTATACACAGCTTTTTTTTTTTTTTTAGTCTTTTACACTAATTTTTTCTGCAATAATTAAAAGTACATTTTCATTTTTTTCACTAATTACCAAAATGGCAAATATNAAACCCTTATTTAAGGTTGTTCACTTTCAGCTTCTTAAATATTTCTTGCTTATCATATCCATTTTATCCATAGGTATTTGATCAGAAAGATCCCTTTTAAGTGTTTCATAAATTAAATTCCAGGATTCCCGCTATGAAGACTTGAATATTTCATCAGATTATTTTTAGGAAAAGACTAGCCTCATTCATAAGCTACATATAAATCTAAAAGGGGAAATATGTTTCTTGCCAGAACCTATTAAAAAAAAAAAAAGAAAAGAAGAGGCAAAAGTTGATGAAAGAACACCGCTGCCACGTCTTTTCCCTTCCCCCGCTCAGTAGTGGCTATTCCATTCCTTCAGAGTGCATTCCAAGGGAAAGTCCAAGAGCCACAGCTCTCAAGAGAAACCAGAAACAGTTAAGTTGAAACTGGCAAGCCTCTTTGGCCTTTTAGATCAATTTCCTAAAAGGAGATCCAGCTTCTGCTTCATCCCTTTCTTAAAGCAAACAGTGCAAAATTCCAAGTCCTGTCCATTCTATTCGGAACGCCTAAGTTGTTAGCGTCTACGACCTAACTGCATTTAATACATTCGATTATTTAGGAGAAATGGTCTTATGAAACCATTCCCCCCGCCCCCTTAAAAACATGCAGCTGCGGGCCATCCATGTAACTCAACTCAAACTTCTCACAGAGCCACAGAATTTGATTTACTGATGTGGACTTTTAAAAGCTGCAAACTCGGCTGAGAGAAGGGGCGGGGGGGGAGAAGCTCATGTGCCTTTAAAAAATTTTGGGGGCAGAAGAAGGAAGGAAGAAGACTAGCTTCCCAGTTCACTGGACGATCTGACAGCCTACTTCCTCAACCTAGCTGCCCGAAACTCGCCGCCCGGGGCTACCTCCAGCTGCTCAATCAGCCCGCCGCGCGCAACAGATGAGTTAAACCTGAACTTTCCCGGGTAGGTCCGCTTCCCAGACCCCACGACTCCGGCAGAATAAAAATGCTCGAGCACTTCAGCGTCAGGTCTAAGCTTTAAAACCCGCTCTCTATTGCCACATGATAACCATCTGCGGCTGTGGAGGCCGAAAACCCTTGCATACCCCTCAGCTTTGACGGGAGGGACTCACGCAGGCGAGGCGCTTGGAAAACTCAACAGGGTGATTCCTCCCCAGGAAGGAATATTCAAGAAAGTCCTGGTCCCCGGGGCGGAGACTGAGGCTGCCGCAGCCCCAACGACCGGGGGCGCCAACCTGCGAGGCGGTGGCAAGAGGAGCACGGAGGACTGCTAAAGGGCCTCTGGGGCTCCCAGGGGAAACGGGGCTCGGGGCGAGTCTCCAAAGGAGAAGGAACTGAGGCAACAGTAGTAAACTGGGGAGCACCCCCCCGCCCCCGAGCCATACCACGAGAGGGGGCAGGGACCAGACCAGCAGAGCCATTCGAGAAGGGCCACGGCTGCCCAAGGACCGCAGCCTCAGTCCCCAAGGTCGGGGGAACGTCTCACCTGGGAAGCGGCACGCGAGAGCTGCGCGTTCTTCAGTACCCGGTGGCCTGCACCCGGCCGGCTACCTACTCCTTTCCCTCAGCCCGCTGGCGGCGCGGCTCGGCAGCAGAGGGAGCCAGTTAGCCCTTTTATAACCTCCAGACTGCGACGGCTGCGCTGAGGAGGAGGCGACTGCAACCCTCGCTACGTGAGCTCGATCACACCAGCGGCCCGGCGTCTGCGCAGGCGCCCAGCCCGGGCCCTCTCCGCCCCTACCCGTGGCCCACGGCCCACGCCCCGGACTCCTCACCAGCCGGTGGAGTCTGAGGCCGAGAGGAGGGACCGGCGGGCGGGCCTGGGACGTAACGCGCCTGCGCGGGGCTCTCACCACGCCACCGTCTCCATGGTTACCTGGGATTTGCGCTGCTTCTTTCAACAGGTTGTTCAGAGCCTGAATTTTGGGATCAGCCCCTCAATCAGGCCTGAGAGACGAAACCGCCAGCGAGAAAATGTCTTAAATGTGAGAAGAGGAACATGGAAGCGTAGAAAATAAAGCAGAAAAGAATAAGTATCGGGTGGAAAATAACACAGTATATTCTGTCTCGCTGTCTTGGCCCTGAGGCTCCCTCTGTCACCTACACTCATTTTATCTGTATCTTGTTCCATTGCACATCTTTATACTTAATCAGCAGATAACGGACTGCGCGCTCTGGAGATTTTCTGGGTTCAATTTCTGGCTCAGTCCCATAAAACTATGGGCATTGATCTCTGTGTATCTCAGTTTCCTGCAAAATGAGAACGACAAATAGGTACCTCATAGTACCTACCTCATTGTTGTGAGGATTAAATGAGATGATGTATGTAAAGCACTCAGAACATGCTTAGCACACAGAAAGGACTTGGTAATTATTAGATGGTGTTGTAGCATATAAGGAACCCAGTCTTGTGTCTGGTCTTCGTTTAACATTTCCCTTAGCCATTATATTCCTAAAAGAAGTCTTAACTATCTGGAAGCAGATAATGAAGGAAATATTTTTTCCCTTATCAGTGAAAGAAAAAAAGACTTCTCTAAGACTTGTTAGTCATTAAAAATTGTTTCTAAAGTTTTCCATGAACGATAAATGGCACAGCAATAATTAAAATTTAACTCTTATCTAGGAGGTGGGGTTGATTATACAGATACAGAAATAGTCATAGAGAGGGTACTTAAGGAACATTAGGCAACCCAAAGGAAATACAGTGAAAAATATAGTGAACCATTAATCAGCGGTTCTCAGAGTGTGGTCAGGGAATTCACAGGAAAAAAATCACTTCATACTAAGTTTATTTGCCTTTTTCACACTAATGAGAGTACAATGGGGTTTTCCAGAGACTACATGTCCTGGGATATTGCAACAGAGTGCACACAGAAGAATGAGAATCTTCTAATAGGTCAGATAAAAAGATCTGCAGAAATGTAAAATAATGCCACTCTTCTCACTAAATTCTTTTTGCTCTGGAAAACAGTTATTTTTTGTTTAAAAGTATTTTAACATGTACGTGCTAAGTTGCTTGAGTCATGTCTGACTCAACCTGTATGGACTGTAGCCTGCCAGGCTTCTCTGTCCATGGGATTCTCCAGGCAAGAATACTGGAGTGGGATGCCATGCCCTTCTCCAGGGGATCTTACTGACCCAGGGATTGAACCCCTATCTCCTGCATTGACAGGCGGGTTCTTTACCAATAGCGCCACCTGGAAACCCTGTTATAATGTAGTGAAAGTGAAAGTCCAACTCTTTCCGACCCCCTGGACTATACAGTCCATGGAATTCTCCAGACCAGAATACTGGAGTGGGTAGCCTTTCCCTTTTCCGGGGGATCTTCCCAACCCAAGGATCCAACCCAGGTCTCCCATTAACATGTAACCACTTTATTATTGTTGTTTTTAAATGAATTAATAAACAAATATTTTGCATGTTTGTTTTAACTGCTGATACAGTCAATTTTGATAGATATCCACATAAAAGCATTTTGGAGTTCTCAAAACTTTTTAGGAGTGTGAAGTGGTTATGACATCAAAGAGTTTGAGAACCACTAGTCTAAACAAAAACCAGGGAGCCCTTTGACTAAAGGGCAAGGCAAAGATCTTTTCCTTAAATCTTGGTCTCAAGTAAAGCTATAATCAGTGGTATCCACTGGCCCTATATA